TGCTGTCTGATGTAGGGCTGCAGAGATGCCACAGACAGGCTGCCATGGAAACATTTGTTTTCATTCACTGGTGGCCTGCATGATAAGAAAGTCTGAGTGGTACAGGAATGACGAAAGAGTATAAATTACCAATGGCCTCAGACAGCTGAGCCTTTCAAAATTAAATCTAATTATTTTACCATTTATTTAGACAGATTATGTTACAGCTTTCTGCCCTCACATTGTGAGTGACAGCATGCATATATTTAGAGCAGAAACAAAGACAAATTCCAACTTGTTTTAGAAAGACACTTTAAATTAGGCTATGTGTAATGGAGAGCATGACAGCTTGTTCTACTTGCATCTTTTAATTAAAATGCAGTGGTCTATATAACAGAAAATTGAGATGGGGCAGATATGGACAACAAGGGAAACAAATCCTAGAAAAAATGTAATTGTATTACAGCACTTGAAGACTCCTACTTAAAGCTGAAGAAACCCAGAAGTTATTTTTGCTTGTTTTCTTGAATCTTAGGAAAAACTTGAACTAGAATGTTCATTACCTTTTTTAGGTTTTCTGAAATTAATTTTCAGTCTTGGATCTTGCTTGCTCCTTAGCTTTTAAAACCAATAAATGTAAAGCATAGGTCTCACTTGCTCAAAAGAGACAATTTGAAGTGCAAGTTTTGGCCACAGCTCTGGCCTTGTACACTTTGACAATCAACATTTCTGAACATGATGCTGGCTGGGAGAGCACAGTGAGCAACCCAAGGAGTACCACTGCCAGCAGGGGTGAACATCTGGGTGGAAACCACCACGCTTTGTCCCTCTGAATGGACTGCATCGACTCCTGTGATCCAACACCCCTCAGAAATCTCCAGGCTCTTCATGACATGGGAGAAACAGCCAGCTGCCCTGAGGCTGTTTGTTTTGGCAGACAGGAGACAATGTCAGTGCACAAATACCTCTTCTCCAAAAGCCAGCAGCTTTCCCTGGGGAGGGGAAGCACCATTAGGTGGCCATCCCGCCTTGGAAAGGAAACCCTGCTCTGAAATAAGGCTGCCACTACCATCTGCAGGCTTCCGGACAAGAGCAGCATCGGGGTACAGATGGTAACACTGGTGGTTTATGGTTTTGGAGGAGGAAGAATGAACAGGTTGAGTAACCTTCTTAACCTTGTTTTGGCTTGTAATGAGTTACTGCATGAAAGACTTTCTGGGTCAGGACAGATAGAGCACACAGGCAATACCACTGCAGGGCCACAAGGGAAAGCTTTTACCTGGTATTTGCTTAAGATCCTTTCACTGAATGGAGACTACATTAGATGACCCCCTGTTAACCTCAGCTTTGAAGTTAGCTCCACTACACTTTCCCTCATACATCTCATACAACATGAAAAGACCCTCAGTGTCACAAATGCAAAGCACTGAATGTGAGAGGAATTGAAAGGTAGAGCAGCAGACAGTGAAAATGCTAAGCATTAAATATGGAGTAAGAAAGAGGGGCTTCTGAAACAAAGGACAGCAAGGGCACAATGGATTAACCAAACTTGCCTCAGAAGTGTTTCAATCTGTGAGTACATGCCACTTTGGCTGCTAGGTCATTAGTGGGATGAACACATAATTGATAAGCTGCAGGTTGCGCTCTACAGGAGAGCAATAAGCTCCTTTAAATTGCATTAATATTTAACATACATAAAAAGCATTTGTCATTTGCAAAGCACTTTATAGAGTAACTGATGGATTCTATAATGATCCTCAACTCCCAGACTAGGGAGTGCAAGTCTGGAGAGATAAACACCTGGCCTGCATCCAAATCAAGATTCACTGACAGAGCTATTATTCTAGCTCAAAATTAGGTTTCTAAGTTTCTGGTCCTTCCAGATTACATTGTTTTGTAGCCTTCAGTAGGTAGAAACATGATACACATGGAGCAGAAAGAAAGGAACTGACAACACAGGATGACATTTCTGACTCACATCTAAAAATTGTCACATCCCTACCTTGGGTCACTGTTCACTCTGAAAGATGCAGATATGTGGGTTGAACACAAGGAATGGAAGTATTAAATATCCGATTGCCATGTTATCTCTCCCTCTCCCTTTTCTTTTAAAGAATTAGTCTTGGGGAATTTACTGACCTCTATAATTTTTTGGGCACCTTAGCATACTTTATATTATATATATATATATATATATATATATATATATATATAAAGGAATAACTGAGATTAGCTCACTTGCTTACAGCATGGTGATAATAACACCAAGGGGGTGGGCTCAATCCCTATAATGGCCAGTCACTTAAGAGTTGGAATTAATGATCCTTTTGGTTTCTGTGGTTCTGTAAAAACTTCATGGCTTTGTGTGCTACTAACAGAGACGAATATATACATATATATATATATGTATGTATGCTTGTGCATATATACAGTTCCCTCCCATTTAAACTGATCTAGTGAGTTCACATGAAGGTGATCCTTAAAATATGATAGCATTTTTCTGAAATAAGATAGATTGTTTCTCACACTGCAGCATTGAGTTTCTGTGCAACCAAAGTTCTGACACAGAACTTTATTACCCAAAAATTCTGTAGAACTTCACCTTCAGCCTCCTACACAATTTCCCGCCATGTCTCCTGAGACAGACCCTCAGTTTTCCTGCCCTACTAACTCCCTTTGTGAATACTTTTTTACTCCTCTGGAGAAAAAACACAGTGAAAGTCACATAATTTGTCTTGGCTGGACTCAGCATCCTTTTGCTGTAGCTAAACTTTATGCATGTAGGAAGTGAACGTCCTTTGGATCTACCAAGAATTCCCACGGGCTAGAGTAGGCTGTGCCACAGAAGCACCTGCAGTTGTACCATCAATACATACAACATATTGATAAAACTACCTAGGAAGGATGCAAAGTCTGAATCACACTGTTTAAGGTATGTAAGGTGTATCACCACTCCAGCTGCACTCGTTCCCTGAAATATTTGTTCCTCCTAACTAACTTTGTTTCAATGTGCCCCATAGTCTACTCACCATTATAGCCTTACAGTCATTTGAAAAGTCATCCTTTTAGCTCTATTCTCATCAATATTACATTCTGCCTGGGAAGCCTGATCATCTTAGAAGTAGGTAAAATGATTACTGATGACAGTCAATACAACTTGAAAATATTTCAGCAATGTAAGTAGGAAAAATTTATACAAAACTTATACTGGACATTATTCAAGAGCTATTCAGAACTTGCAAAGCAGAGAAATCTGACAACCAGTAAAATATGATGGCTTCCATATGCCAACATTTTTATGCTTCAAGAGAACTCAAGTTTAGTGAAAGAAACTTCCTATAAAAAGCATTATTAACAGCATTTTTTTGCATAAGTGGAAATCTAACGTAACAAATCTCCCTTTCTGCTCCATCTTAGATTCCGAAAAAGCTCAGCCTGCTAGACAATATTTCCATAGAAATCTTATTTGTTAAGATTTGCTTGATTGTATTCCAAAAAGTGACTCATATTTTAGAAGCAAAAGCTGAAATGAGTTGACTCTTCCCATCAAAGTCAGTATGAGTCATTCCTCCGTTTAATGGCTCCCCCACTATCCCTGAGTGACAAAACTGAGACAGCAGGTCAAGAAATGACCACTTGGGAGTCACAAAGGGTGTGACTTGCCCTAGATAGCTAGTCCTAGGCTGAAGGAAGCAACACAGGACTTGGCCAGTGAAATTAAAAGATACTCAGCCACATGGACAGCTAATTTGCTGTAAGAGTAGTAAAATACCAGCTTCTGTTTGCAGCTCACTCCTAGCATCACAACATTTGACCCAAACTGTAACGCCAGGGTTAACTAAGGTGAGGTTTTGCCTCACCTGCCACTCTCCAATGCACCTAAAATGAGAGCAGCTGAAGGACAGGAGGGCTGAGTGTAACATGATTGTAAAGATGCCATGATTTGGCTGCCAGTCACATACTCCTTTTCTCTGCCCTTTCTCCTTCTCCATGTTCCTGTGGATTTCCCTTTCAAGCCTGCAGACTATTTCATCTCTGCCTTCATACTCTCCTGTTCTCCCCAGTGGCTTTTCTTCATGGAATTCCAGCTACCCAAAGGACTGTTGGCTTAGCCAGGCCCTCCAAGACTCATCCTTCCTCTGCAGACACTGTTTGGTCAGGCTCAGCCTTGTCTTGTGTGCATGACCTTCTGACCTAAAACAGGACAGGCTGGTCCACTGCCCAAAAGTCACCTTGATGACAATGACGGAATGGAGAAAGGGTCCACCGTGAGATGCTGAATTTTCCACGCTTACTCTGAGGTGCTAAATGTGCTCAATTTTTGCTTTTCTGAGGCCTTCTGGAGTTGAAGGCATCCTCTTAGCATAGGTCTGCCCATAGGTACAGACTGGCTTTAAGTAACAATGAAGATCATCTCTCCCAAAAGTAGGTTCCTATCAGAGTCCCATCAGGGAAAGAAATCTTCCTTACAGAAAAATCACAATATCTTTTTGCCAGAACATTCAAACACAGTTATGATTCACAGACATCATGGAAAAGCATACAAAACTCTCCATTCTCACTGCTATTTGTGCTTGACATTTTCCCCGCTTGCCCAGGGTGTCTCCCATGCCCACAGTAATCTCACAATAGTCAGAATTTCTGTATGGACAGTGACTCAATGGAAGACTCAACTCAGTAAAGTACCAAGGAAAAGAAAAGCCCAGTGAGATCAAAATCCTTGTTTGTTATGGGCTTTGTTGCCCATACTTTGCTTTCTGCATTCTGATGTAGCAAGTGCCAAGAGACTATTAATCCACAGTCTCTGGCTGTTTCAGGGAGTGCTCAGAATCCCTCACCTAGCTCAAATCTGTGCACCATCCTCAACAACCTCCAGAGAAAACAATGAAAGTACCTCTGTGCTTGACACTGGTGAAATATCATGCCATTCATCCTTTTTCTTAAATTAGAAACACAATTTTCACCATTTATCTCCTGACAGGATAAAAAAAAAAATAAAAAGATGACAAAAAGCTTTTTACCTCTACTTCACATGCATATTCCGATCCATCCAGGAGCGTCACTTTGCATTGCATATTTTTCGGTTTCTTGACGATCTTTAGAGGAGACTTGGAAAGTTTGCTAGATGAAGATTTTTGAGAGAGCTTGTCGTCCTCTAGCTGCTGGTATTCCAGCTGTTTTGCACTTGCAGCAGCAAACTCCTGTTCTTTCTCTGTGGCCTAAAAAGAGAAAAGGAAGATACTTTTTGAAATAAGATAAACCAATCATGCCCTGCAATTCACTTTACATGCTGCACCCAAGCATTTAAGTGAGCCTTTTTTGGGGCTTGGACAAGAAAACCCCTGATGCAGGACAGAGTCCTTATTTAAAGACTTCCCATATTCCTTCCAACCCTACATTCTCCCTCCAAAATGTACAGAATACCTATGAAGGAGGGGCATTCATGAAAATATTTTAAGGCTTCTACTTTTTCCACAGGTACAAAATCCCACTTGTGCTCCCTGTACTTGTTTTTTTTTTTGCATTTTGGAAATACTGAGTAATCAGTTAATTTTGTGGATGAACAGATACTCCTACACCTTCTTGATATTACTCTGAAGTCCTGCACCTGTTAAATAATATGATGTTTCCGTGGTGTCATACAGAATAGAAAAACACCATCAAGTTTGCACTGATTTTGCTGTCAATGGAAAAACAGACCCTGAATGAACAGTGTAAATTCATAAGGGGATGCTGATGTCCCTGGGAAAGTTAAAGGCTCCCCAAGGATGAGAGGATGAATTTTGGTCTCTGCTGATGCCCAGTAAGTCTCTCAAGCTGGAGAGAAGTAGGTGCTATTTGGAAGATAAATATAGGGCAGGGAAGAGGGGCAAGAAGTAGATGACCATGGTTGCTTTTGCTTGGGTTTATCTGAGGGTCAGACCATTTGAATTTACCGTGATGCAGCAGAGCCCACAGTCCTCTCCACAGCACTAGATGAAAGCCAGACAACTCTACACATTTCACCCTTCCTAGCAACAGCTCTGTGCTGCAGTCATTACCCTTCTCGTCAGTTATATCCTTGATAGACTCCAAACAAAACCTCAACAGGAGTGCAGTAATACCTCAGCTAGAGCTTAAGTTAAATAAAAACATCTTTCTGTTATCTCACTACAAGGCAAAAACAACCCAGCCTACTCTGGCTCTGAATTATTTCAGTGTAATAACCAACAAGCATTAATGGAAATATATTGTATATTAATCCTGCAAGTCTGTTTCCATTCATTATATATAATAAACCTTCATAAGAATGGAGCAAATCCATCCAAAGGCTCTAAGCTGCTTTGAGACCAGAACAATGTTGCATCATATAACCTGAAACAATACTGTACTTCTAAATCACAGGGTACTGTCCCTGAATGATTTAATAAAAACAAGTTTTAAGATTCTCCTCTGCCTTCTGACAATGGGGCAAAGGACAATTTGGAGCTGGTTTTGATCCCTACAGTGTTAGCTCTCACCAAAGCCCAGCAAATTACAAAGAGGTATGGCAAGACCTCACAGTCTTCCTTTACCTGAAAGGCGGACACAGCAATGGCCTTCCTGGACATTCTTGGATGGGGAAACTGGAAAAGACTGGGGCTTAAAAGATAAAAAGGCAAAAAGAGCTGCTTTCAAAATCTATTGCATCTCCTGGGCCATGAATGTTCTTCCTCAGGAGCAGCCTAGTACCAGCCATCTCTTCCGCCATCTAGCTCCAGCACAAAAGAAATTCTTCCTCCAGCAGTTGGACACCAGCGCTGTGCCCGGACGTCAAGGTCCTCACATACTTTGAAAACTGGTGGGAGATGAAGGCTCAGTATATGTAAGTGGATCAGCTGTTTGCTGAGCATTTAACAATCACAGCAGCTGTGATGAAGAGGGAGAGACCTCCTGGGCTCACAGCAAGGCTTGAGGCCAGCTAGCCTTCTACCACATCTGCAGCCAGCTGGCAAGCGGTCCAGCCTTGTGCAATGAGAAATAAACATCCCTGAAGATGCCTCCTGCTTGGGCCTCTGTGCAGAACTGCACTGCTGCTGGTGGGCAGAGGGGCTGTAATGATTTATGTATGTTTTGTCAAAAGAAATCTGCCAGGAAAGGTGCACATGCATATATGCGGGTAAAAAAAATAATTCCAGTGATGGGGAAAAAATACACTGTCTTATCCAGTGGCTCATTACATTTCTCATGTGAGAGTTAGCACTGTGCTCCAACAAAAATATCCCAGCATGGAACTAATCTCTTTCAAGAAAACAGAAAAGCTGTTTGAGAAGAAACTTCCACAACAAGAACACCCCTCATCCATTTAAACCTCAAAACCATACTCAGCCTGTAAGCAATTTATGTGAATCACAATGGATTGATCATTATTTTCCTTCATAAAGATAGTCAGTATATCAAGACTACTGAAGAGTTTTGCTTATTTATAAATCTTAAAAAATATTACTGAGGTTATTTTGTTTGTTAAGGTTCCCATCTACATTAAGATCAGGGAAATGTGTCTAGGTTAAAATCATACAAAAGGTTTTCCTCTCATTTTTCTGGAGAACAAAACATGCCAAGAACTATTAGAGAAGATTCCCCCAAACTATGCTGACATGTTCAGGCATTGAGGTACTTTCAGACTGTATTAAGTCTCTTCTTCCTAAAGAAACCTGACATCCTGGAATCCAGAAAAAAAAAAAATGGCCAGTGAAAGACCCATGTACACAGTGAATTACTTTTTACTCTGCAAGCACAGATTCATTTTTTCCTAAATTTTTGTCCAAGGTATTTCTGCACTGTTTTTTTGTAGTTTCTGTGCTCTGTTTTTGCAGTATTTTTTAAGCGCTATGGACTAAATACTAATGCAGCACAAGTTGCTTCAGGTTTGCATTTTTGAGCATAATCTCTCTCATGTATGATGCTGTATGTTCAAGCCCTTCTAAAACTAGATCTTTTCTCAAAGGATGCCTCTGGAGTCATGGGATTCAGCAACAAAGATCTTGGATGCTTTGCAGCTTCTCACTGGGGTATGAAGTGATGTTGCCACACTTGCAAAACATATTAATCCCATCTACTTATGGTACACTCAGAAACTTTGGTGCCTGACCTTGTGTGATGCCACCTTCTCTTTTTCAAAGAGACAGGAAGGCAGGCAGAAAGCGAAGTTGCATTATTACACCTGATAGGAAGGACTCATTTCTCTAATACCTGTTAATCTCAATATGAAAAGGTTATTCACCTACATTAAATTTTTTGGGGGGGGTTATGTGCACAGGAAGACAAAGAAAAGTTACTCTCATGGATTGGTAACTTAAATCTTCCTTCCCAATGTTCTCTTATAGAAGTAAGAGCAAAAATCCACTCCCTCACTGCAAATATGGACAAGAGGGAGAATAAGATCTTTCAGTTTCTGGCTTTTTAATGACACTATTGCAAACATCTTTGTCTCTTAGTGCTGCATTTAAACATTCCTTTCCTGAGACAGACACTTAAGGCACTATGAAAGACACTGAGCCTATCAGTGCAGTTGGATTTGGCAGTCTGCTAACAGCATGGACATTTGGATTCAGTCTGGTAATCTCAGCAGGAATGTGTCACATATCCCCTTCATTAACCCAGTTCTTTTATCTTGCCTTCTACAGAAACCAGTTAACTGGTGATCTTTGGGAAAGAAAGGGATCATGCAGCACATGAGAGCACCCCACACTTCTAAACACACGTGGACAGGCTTGGTGCCTAAATTAGTTTAGGTTTTTGTGTGTGTGTGGTTATTTTGGAGTTGGGCTTATTTTGCTGTTTGGGGTTTTTTGTTGCTGCTGTTTATTTGTTTTACGTTTTTAATGTGAAAAGAAACTTGAAGTGAAAAGATTATTGAAGATGTCTGGAAAAACATCTATATAGATAATAATACTAATGCCTAAGACTGACAGAATTACACTTTTAATCAATGACCAATTCATTCAACACCTATCTCTCTTGAAAAAGCTTTGCTTCTTTTCCCTAAACTAATTCCAGGAAACTTCTGATCTATTTGACAGATCAAAATTGCTTTGCCAGAACTGTCTACCTCAACCAAGTAAAAGAACAGGACCCACTTCAACCAGCCAGAATTTTTAAAAGGAAAGAGAAGAGGAGGAGCTAGACTGGCTTATTCCACTCTCCAAAGGTAAATGTAATCAGATGAGGGTCATAACCTTACAAAGCTAAAGGAAGAGATTTTCAGGTATCCCATTAATTGTGTGTCACTTACCCATGAAGAAAAATGCCTGTTAATCCTATTGTCTGGAAATTATTAACGGAAAGAAAAAAGCAGCTTCTGGAAATTTAATAAGTGCAACAATGAACTAAATGGAAAAGCACGCAATAGCTCTTCTGAAACCTATTACATGAATAGCTCAAGTAATTATAATGCAGTCATTTCAGACCCACAAGAAACTTAAGGGACCACACATTCTTCATGGCTCACACATCAGACAAGCAAGCATGAAATCAGTGTTCAGCAGGTGTCAAAAGAAATGAACTCTGAAAACATTTTCAGCTTCATAAAAACTGACACTATTTGCTATCTAATGCAAAGCAAGGTCGAAGATGTTTCCTACCTAGTTAATGAGACTGCCCTCCTGTTTCAGCACTGGGGGCAGAAACACCTGCCGTGAATTTAAAAATATACTGCATTAGAACTATTTTCCTTTAAACACGAGACACGAACCAGCCCAGATCTACAGCATCCCATCAAACACCCTTCCCCGCGTATCTGAATATATATTTGCACTGCACACGTGCCAGGCTGGCTATTTCCTGGCAGCAGAAGGTGGGTGCTCAGCCAGTTGCGTGCAGCGGGCGCGTGTCCGTGGGCTGCCTTACCTGCTCCTTTCTCACGGGCGTGCTGTGCGCTGCCACAGCTGAGAACTGCTCCAGTGCAGTCTGGTGTTCCTCACTCGGCTGCTGAGGCTGCTGCTCCTGCGGCTGGCTCTCTGCCGTCCCTTCCTGCGCAGGGCTCTCCTCCTGATCCTGCTCTTTATCCTTGGACTCGGAGTCTGATCCCGATTCGGTAGTCATGGTTGGTTATTCTGCAACACACGGTGAGCAGAGCTACTGAGCACAATCTCATGGCTGTGAATTTGTAAGCTAGGCATATAAAAAGAAAGATCCGACAGTTTTAGTCTCAATATCCTCAAAATTTAAGTGCCTATCACGCTGGCCCAAACAGGATCCCTAGGAAAGCTTCCCTGGTGCAAAAGACCAGGTCTAAATGCATCCATACTGTAGAGAAAAAAATATTGCCAAAAATCTTATTCTATACAGTAATACACAGACGCTATAGGACTTACGTGCAAGTTAAATACAGAATACACAGTTCATAATTCATAGAGGGCGCGTAACACATTGGGCCTTAAATCTAACAAAACCCAGTGGAGTTTGGGCTTCTAAACCATGTGGAAACTTGAAAAATTAAATCTTTTGTCCTTTACATTGAAATCAACAAGACTTGAGCTCCTCAACATCTCCCTTTTGGAAATGTACTCAAGTACTTTTGATGCTTCCAAGCAATATATTAATAGTTGAACTAGATGATCTTAGAGGTCTTTTCCAACCTAAACAATTTTATGATTCTATACATACTAGAAACATCTGAAATGTTTCTGTATGCCCTGTGCATATATACAGTGCAAACATACATTTGCCCTTAAACCTAGTTCTGTCCTTCCCATTTGAATTCATCTACATTTCTGTCATTTCTTTCTAAGCGCTACAGCATTTAAAAGAAAACATAAAGACTTCCATTAAGTCATTCTAAGTGTTAGATTTCAAATGAAGGGAATACAACTTCCATTGAATGTGAAAAGTCTATTTTTCTATTTAATTTTGTCCAGTACTAAATAAAAATGAAAATATTAGCAATACTCATTCAAAATTTTAGCTACTTTAATTAAATAGTTTTGGTGCAAATATGTGGTTGGCACCCAATTCTCAAACAAAATACATGCAAAACCAAGCTTTTAAAAAAACACTGTGATTTTTTATCAAAACAGGGATTTGAAAAAGCAGACTGTGTCAGTTCAGCAAAGGCAGTGTGCTTTGATGTTTGTTATTCATATGTTCTCAGACCTCACAAACTTATTCTTGAATAGCTTGCTACTAAGCAACTTGAAGGCAAACCAGTCTGCTGTAATCTATTTCTGTTAGTCATCAGGATGTGATTTCTTTAACCTGGTAACTATGGCTACTGTGGAATTATAGGTGATTCCACAAAACATGCATCTGCTAATTCACCCTAGCAAGTCCCTATGAACTCCTAGCATACACTACAATGTTACTAGTAGAAGCAAGTTTGTTGTAGAACATAAGGAATGTACAAACCTTTCTCTTTTTCTTCATTTAAATGCTTGATAAGCTAAATTGGTTGACAGAAAATGTTTTAAACGAGGCCAATTACTATTTTCAAACACACTTGTGTATTCTGCACTTTCAAGGCTAATCTCTCCAGTGAATACACGTCTCTGCAGTGCAAAGGAAGTCACAGCATTCAGCCTGTGCTCAGCTCCTGCTCCGTGTGTGAGGAGTGGGGGGTGCATGTTCCCACTCCCTGCCAGCCAAAACAGCATGAGAGAGAACCAGAGCTAGAAAGCATACATGGCAGATTTATGCTTCAGGCCACATTTTTAAGGTACTAACATGTGATACATGTGTTTAGAAACACATCGTAAATTTCTACACTCAGACTTGCACAACTGTATAAAAAAAATACTTTTTGAAATATGTTATTTAACAAATTGTTCTTAGCATCTACAAAAAGCAGTAATTAACTTGGGTCTTAAAATTTGACAGTGAGAAAGGTGTTCATTTAATCAAACTCCAGCTGTCCATATCTAAGATGGTCACTTTAAATGCAGAGCAGAAAAGCAGACGTTTCAGAGAGGGATTCATCTGACCTATTTTAAATTCCTGCTTTAAGCTGTGATAAATCACATACTAGAGCGACTTCAATTTGCTGCGAAGGAAGCCTAAACAAGTATCTCCAATGTAGATCACTCAAACCCATCTTCCATGTTCAATTATCCTAAGCCATTCTTTTTTGTATGCTTTAAACATTAAATTGAACAACAATGTTAATCTCTCAGAATTTTGCTTTATGCATCTGTCAAATCAACGTGGAATAAACTATTCTTCATCTGACACTCATTATATTTGCCTTGCTTTAAAAGCACCTAGGTCTCCACAAATGTCTCAAGTTTTCCCCTGCCCACCCCCCACCCTGTTTTGTCCAAGCGCTTGAGGACATGAAATGCAAATTAATCAAACAATTAATTCAGTAAACTCAAACTGTGTGTTCAGTTTACTTTTCCAGAAACTATGAATTAGGAAGTTACCAAAACCTAACTTACAGCTACAAAAATCATTGCTCAAACAATAACAAAACAGCACCTATGACCAATACAAAGAGTAATGCATGAAGTAAGATGCAATATTTTTTACGCCCTCTTGATATTATTTAGAACAGTGTAAATAAAAACTTGCTGTATGATATATACTTCTCTTTAGAAAGAGGTATTACTCTCTATAGGATCAGATTCCCAGCCAATACTAACCAAAGGTCTGTCTTCCTTCAGCTGACATCACCATGCCTCTGAAAGCTCATTTTTGCAGCCTGTGTAGTTTCTTTCCTAATAAACATTTGTATACTGTCTGCGAGCATGGAAACAGACATTTAAAATAGCCCCACAAAAAACAGCTTCATGTAGGATGAGATGCAAACAAGTTTTACTGTTCCTGCCAGTTATCATTTTGAATCTCAGGGAACAACAAACTAGGTTCTTATACTCTTCCGGGACATTTCTGCATGAAGTATTGCCTTACAATACTGAGTTATTCTCTAGAAGTTACTGCTTTTCTCTCCAGTTCTTGCTCCAGACTTCTTGCTTTATTAGAAAACTTCATGTGCTTTATCAAATCTTTCAGCGTAAGAGATTTCCTGGATACAATATTACTATCATTAGTCAGACAACAGATGGATTTAATAAACCTAGTGTTGCCCATTTCCAAATGTCTTTATTTCCCCATGCATGCAGCACATTTAATAACAAATACTGAGAACAAAATACTGTTCTTCCCACACTGTTCTCTTACAGGTGTAAATAGAAGCAAAGCAAATACATCACAAATCCCATCGCAAATCCCATTTCTTACAAACTCCTCAGATGAGAATACTGTTAAGATTTATTTACTTCCATCTAGAGCAGGTGGAAAATACCTAAATTACAAGGCAGGAAAGAACATTCCTCTCTCAGTGCAAGCCAGTAAGTTGTTTTGCCTTCCTCAGCAAACAGCTGCTTATCCGCATGAACTCTGACAGCATTTATTTGTTATAAATAGCACAACAACCCTCCTAGGAAGAGGTAATTTCATTTATTGAAAGAAATAACAGTAATCTTAAGAAATTTACCAACATAAATATTACTTTACCTTTGTTTATATGCAGCAAACCTGACAGAATAACTGGTAGTGACTAAACATTTATCAAGCACTCAGCTGGCTGAGAATTTCTTATTCTTCTTTGATTATTTACTATAACTGGCTATGTACTGAAGCTATGACTTCTAATGTGAATTTCAGCACAGGAAGAAAGAAAACACTCAAGTTGCTTAAACTTTTTCTGTTGCCAGCACAGCCTCTGTATCAAATTCCCCTTTCCAGCAAGCAGAAAACAAAGCAATGAAGAGAAACTGGGATCACTACCTTATACAAATGAGGTAATATTATGCAAGCCAGATGTGCTCTTGGATAGCTACACTCTGGCTTACAACCCAGTATTCAAAGATTCCAAAAGATTAGCTGAGTCCAAACTTAACACAGATGCTGCCTCAGATAGTCCGAGGCAAAAGTACATTTGGCTGCAGAATGAAAATCAGTATGAAAATTAAGTCTTTTGATTAAAGAGGGGGTGGAGGGGAGGGTGGAAACCCAAAACTAGCATTTTTTAATTTACAACTAAAATTTTACATACTAAAATGTATGTACTGTCAGCAGTGCAAAATAAAACTATCAGTAAAATATTAAAATGTCCATGTTTTAGTGCTGCTGACAACAGGTAAGGGAGTACAGATAACATACTAGCAAAGTATTAAAACACAACTTCAAAAAATCAACATGGCATTTTATCTATAATGTAACCAAATCACAGAAAATAAATATTTTCCTACCCTCACACTACACAAAGGCATTACATAAGGATTACAAAACCTGCAAACCACTAATGCAAAAAAACCCCTACATCCTAAATCCTGACACAACACCTAGACCTTCTTTCCTTCAGCTACCTACCTACTGCAGCCTGGGAGATTCCCATTTCCATTACCAGTTACTCACTATGGACTTAGAGAACATAATTTACTTTTTTCCATAAGGAGAACCAAAACCATGCTGTCCTCCGTGTCACCTGGTCCACTGCAGCAAGTGACAGCCCCAATCTACTGTATAAATTCATAAATTCAAAAACTTGACACTCTACCTCTTGTTTTCAGAGCACAGAGCTTCTGTGCTGCATCCACAGAGCAACAAAATTCACAGCTAATTGACAGCAGAGCCCACAGTTTAATTAACACTGCAGTCATTAATAAACCTTTATTTATATATAAATACATGCTAGTGAAAATATCCGCTATATTAAGCAAACAGAAGTCACATTAGACAAGAAATTGCAAATTAATGCTAAATAAATGATGATGTAATGAGAAAACAAAATTGAACCAAGTATAATTAAATGAACTATACATAGCCACTAACTATTTCCTGTAATGCACGGATTAATGATTTACATTTAAATGCTTCTTTGATCTGATTAATTCTCTTTGTAGAAAGTTCTCCTTTAATTATAGTAATTCTTGAAGATTGTTATAAATCTTTGCAAGGGTTCAAATTTGGAAATTATGTAACAAAATAATGATTCTATACTTCAAAAATAATTTTCTGCATAATGAGAGACATATTTATCCAATAATGATGAGATGCTGATGAGAAGAGCATATGGAGAACAATATTGCTGCAATGAGCAGTGACAGAAATGCCAATA